CCCGTCTTTGTGACGTATCTCCAAAGTAACAGAGTCACAAGTTGGAAGTGAAGCCAACATTTTAGAGGGGATTTTTTTTCAGTTTTGCCAGGTTTTCCCTGACATTTCTCTACTTGTGAATAGTGAGGAATATCATGAACGCTCTAATGAGAAAGTATGCAAGAAGGAAACTGTATGAATGAGAATGGACAGTTTTTTGTGCCTTTTAGTCGGGCAATTCAAAGTCATTGTACATACTAGTGCAACGCAGTAAAAGTCAACTCGTACCGCCCCGTATCCAGTTGTGTATGCGTGTACGCCATACCCAAAATCCGGACATCTCATTTTTGACCTCTGCCGAAATTTGAATTTCTGACAAATGGCTCCCAATCTTGAACAAATGAACTGGTGGATACAAATGACAAAAGTCTGGAAATTGGGCAATAAGTAAGGTGAAAAATACGAAAAATGACAAAAATGGGTCCCAATGAAAAACGAAGTGAATTTTAAAAAAAGGTTTTCTACCTAGAATAAACTTTTTTGTTCATAAAAGTTACCAGTCTTTCATGTGGCATCAAAGTTATTTGAAGGTAAACCCAACAAAATTGCGAAAATGAGACACAAAGTTAGGTGAAAAAAGACATCATTTTTTCATAATTAATCTTTGTCGTAAAACTGACATTTTTCACTTCTTTGATTATTTTCAGGAGATCTTTGTTACTAGAAGCTATTACATGTAAGTATTACCACTTGATAGATTCCTGACAATTTATTCACCCACAAGGTCTTCAAGGGAAATGGCAGTATATATCCCTCACATGGGTCACCACAGATATGCCCGTCTGCTCAAATAATTTTTCAGGTCGCTGACCATATGTAACAATATGGGCGTTTCACAAGAGTTTGTGATGTGCGGCCCAATCATACTGAGCGAAATTTGTCAACCCAATGTGCATTTGGAAACGGTCGACAAATTTCGCACGTTGTCATTGGCCAACGTGTTGCAAACTCTTGGAGGCGCCACAAATGGCCATGAATACCTGCGTTTTGCGCTGGGTTCATTTTGAACAATAAGGGCACCAAAACGTGGCAAAATTAAAATGGTTACAGGGACCATGCAATAGAAATGTTTCACTAGATCCTTGAAATTGAATGTTTGTGTTTCAATTAAACACAGTTTTTGTTTTGTCAGTTTTATGGGTATTTTGGGGCCTACATGGTTTTATACAATGTAGATTTACATATTCATGAGCAAAACTGCAATGTAATCAGATGAACCTCAATGTTGCAATGACACGTACCCAAAATATTACTAGATTTTTATACATGTACTTTGCTACTGAAGATTTCCATTTCCTTTGGCAATTTATTGCTGTACATTTATAAACTTATAAATATAAAATGTATAAATTGTAAGTCCATCACATCCCTGCAAATCCTTGTAAGACCATCACATGTCCTTGCAAGTCCATCACATGTCCCTGCAAGTCCCTGCAAGTCCATCACATGTCCCTGCAAGTCCATCACATGTCCCTGCAAGTCCATCACATGTCCCTGAAGTCCTTGCAAGTCCATCACATGTCCCTGCAAGTCCCTGCAAGTCCATCACATGTCCCTGCAAGTCCCTGCAAGTCCATCACATGTCCCTGCAAGTCCATCACATGTCCCTGCAAGTCCATGTAAGTCCATCACATGTCCCTGCAAGTCCATCACATGTCCCTGCAAGTCCATCACATGTCCCTGCAAGTCCATCACATGTCCCTGCAAGTCCATCACATGTCCCTGCAAGTCCATGTAAGTCCATCACATGTCCCTGCAAGTCCATCACATGTCCCTGCAAGTCCATGTAAGTCCATCACATGTCCTTGTAAGTCCATCACATGTTCATCACAAGTTATTCAGTCTCAAGCCAATTCACAAGCTACATGTATTCAAATGAGCTGTGGCTAAAACATTCTTTTGTCATAGTTTGCCCTGTTACTTATGACTGGCCTTTTGAAGGGACCTGTGACTGGACTTGTACAGGGACTTGTGATGGACTCGAATACAACATTGGTACTGGTACCTGTTGGTAAGCCTTATTCTGAAGGTAATATGCCAAAGCTTTTGCCACAATCAGGGGACAATGTCTGTTGTCAGGAAAGTTGAAAGCAGGCCATGGGTCACCTATCTTTCAACATGTGAGATGTCCCCACAGCTACAGAACGAGTGCACAAAGGTAGGCCCTCACCACATTATGAGGAAGTATTTTATTGTTGGGCACATCCGGACAGAGTTGCGGAGACATTTCTCTGTCCTCACAATAATTCTAGTCCCCACAAAATCAGTGTAACGACGAGCGTGTGTCCCCTCAAGTAGGTGTGTACTGGTGCCCTACTTTCTACATGTAGTGTCCCCACCATCTTTGGGCCTCAATAATGGTAATTCTGAAGTACTGAATATTCACGGTCCCCACAATTTAAAGCACCTGCAAACATGTTCCCCATACTGGACCACCATCTTCCCTGCAGCAGTCACCATTCACAGGCAGGATACCGTAACCTGCACTGGAGTAGGTATACCGTACACTGCTTTATGAACTTGGGTATTAAACCGCAACGCACACGCACAGTATCCAATTTCACCCATCTTGTCAGTTGGTCCTATTTCAGTAACATGAGTCACATTGGAGATCTGCCACCTCCAAAGTGAATTACCTGAGCTCTGTGAGAGTTTTTGCCAAACCAGATGGGTGTGATCAGGGCCTAGATTATCCAGTAGGGTCCAATCAAAAGAATGTGAATGTAACTCAGGGCTGCATGGTCCCCTGCCCCCCCCCCCAAGATCCACATCCACCACCATTACCCCAGACATGTGCTTGGTTGGTAACCGTACAAAGAATATTTACGATCATATACTGAATATTTAAATACTTGATCAGATCCAAGGTGACTGAAGAATACACAAATACCAAAATATATCCAAAAATGCCCATTCCTCAATCAGTCACCATCACTGCCCAATCCCACACGGCCCAACAAAATCCCCACCAACCCAGGAAATCCCCGTCCCACACTGACAAATTCCTATCTCAACCTATTCCATTTCCAGTCTAATCCATCACATCTCCATTTGGACGGACAGATGGAAATTGGAATTACATTGGCTGGCACTGCTTCGCAGCTTCCTGAAAAATAGAATGGGGGATCTTCTGGTGGTCATGTTGCATAAAATACGGGAACCATAGTACCCAATTTACATTTACATCTACCGATACATGTAAAGCCTGGTTTCCATATGATCATTTGTAACGCAAACAGAGCAAAAGACGTGAAGACGCAGACACAAACGGGAGAGACGGCGCATGAGGACTTTTCACCCAAAAACAGAAACAAAGTGGCGTCAGAAACTCCATGATTTTTCGTGGAAAATGTGCTTTTAGATGGACTGTACCATCTCTGCTCCAGTTTCATGTATTTCATTATTGGCCAGCTATTCAGTTGATCACTGTGGTGTAATACTTAAGTATTCATGAGAAAATGGGCAAAATTTGTGGAACTAAGCAAGAGGGGCATTGTTGCACACCGGTCATACCAGCATGTGTGTTTGTATTTGGATACCACGGCCTACTCGACGCAGACAGTAGGCAAAGTTGAACCTGGCTCGATCAACTTTGCCGATCGTTTGCGGGCTGGTTGTGTTTGTCTGTGTTGTCGGAGAAACCTCCATTTGGCATGTTTCCATATATCCAGGTTGCAGTTTGCACCTTGATTGTGTTGCTCTCTGCGTTTCTTACGTCGACATGCAAACTGGGCTTATAAAAGTCCAAGGATACTGGGGTAAAAACTGTAAAATACAAAGAATAACAAGAAGTACACGACAAAAACACCACACTGTTGGGTCCTGTGAAGTTATGCAAAGCAAAATGGTGAATTGGATTAGAATTAACCTCGGAAACACTTTTTGAGATGGCAACCCTGGATGTCGGTTTAAGCCCTTGGGAGTAAATTATAAAGCAAGAAACTCCCAAACCAGACGACAAACTTCATTGTGACTAAGCAGTCTGAAACGAACCATGAGAACGGCTCCCCCCCCAAGTCTTACATAAGTATGTACGTGTACTCATGTACATGTACACTCTACATGTACGGGCATCACCAAGGTCATGCATGATTAACACGGCCAGAATAATAACAGCCAGTTGCAGATGAGATTTCCAAACCAAAAAAAAAAAATCTAGGGGAAATGAAATGTTCAGTCTATTTGATTTCTTCCATGGCACTTACCTGTGGTGTTGTCATTACGACAAACATGCGCGATATGTGGTGATGACATGAATAAACAAATGACCTTAGGTATTTACTCGGGGAGCCTTGGGCCGTTTTCCAATGCCCAACTCCGTCTCAGGCTTTGTATAGGAAGCCAATCCTTGATTGTGGGCCAGAAGCGTAAAACTTAAATTGAAGTACTCTAATATGTTTGGCTCTTTTGCATCTTACTTGATGTTTTGAGGCACTATCAGACTTACTTTTGCGCTTACAACCTGAACGTCGGGAAGTAAAAACAAACAGTTGAAGCCTGAGACGGAGCCTAAGTCGAGTATTGGAAAACAGCCCTGATCTGGCCAAGAGGTCCTTTGAATAACATGTTAAATTTGCAACAACGTGGTGCCCAAACTGCAGCACAGCATTTCAAGCCTTTCTTTTACAGAACTTGACTTCAGCTAAATTGCAACATAGGCGACAAGTTTTCTGAACTAGTTTTTTGCATCGTTCCACTAATCTGCCTCCATGTTTTGACACTGTGTTGTTGCATACTTCCCCCAAGCAACCGGCTTGGGCCATTCTAATATATTGCAGTCCAATTTCAGGATGATCAATGTCCCCCGCGAGTGAAAAGAGTTCTAGAAGCATTTTAAAACTGGCTTCACTTGTCTTTGTTACTTTGCTGCACAAAACACAAGAACACAAAATGAAAACAAAACAGATGATTGAGAGCGATTTCACTGAACACACTCCACATATTGACCAATCGCAGCTTACTGTTCAGATCCATGTGTGACTTCAGGTCCCCGCAGTTTTGGACTCGGTGTGGTACCTTCAGCTTCCCCTTTAAGAAGTCGTCAAACTCCTCCTGTATCAAGGAAGGGTTGGGGGAACAAAGGATACATTTTAATGAGGGGTATTGAGCAAATGTAAAAAGAGTTGACTGCTATGACGTGCGAGTGAGTGTCAATATATATAACTGCCTATATTAAGCCATGTGTGGGTTAAAAGTACCACTTTGGAGCCGTAAAAAACTGTGACAGGCATATTAACACTCTAGAGTATTACCACATATGGGCATAGTGACCTTTCCCTACTGATATAGCAAGATTTGTCCAAATTCAATTTTAAATATCTGAAGCTGGCAGGACGAATTTCAAATCCCATTGGTACAAACGTGTTTCAGAACTTGTAGTTTATGTCTGTAGGTTTTTTTTTCACAGCCAATCAAACTTTTGCAACTGAAATTTTTTGTTAGTATTTTTGTCCCATATGCTGCAAGGTCTATGAAAAGTACCCAATAACATGAAAACACCTATACAATATCAGTTGCAGGCTGTTAGAACAAGCCCTGTGATTGGTCAAATTGTGCAACATTTGTGACGTAATACGCTGTCCAAATATGGCAATACTCCAGACTGATTAAAGTACTAGTCCAGTACTTTAAATCAGAAACAACTTTTCAGACAATCTGCTCCAAGCGGAACAAGAGAGGTTTTTTTTTTTGGGTACACACCGCACAGGCGCGCCACGAGGCATGCAACTATATGCACGTATGACGTAGAGCACACTGAATACGCGTAACTGATTTACTCTGGCATGTGTGGCCTTTGAGTACACGCACAACGCATGCAAGAACCCGCTTGTAACCCCCTGTCTTTATTTTCACTGATTGGGGGTGCACTTCAGCTCGGGGCGGATACCATCAGAACGCAATATTTTTCGACTGAGCAACCGCATGTACCTGAGATGTTGGCTTGTGGTTACACCGTGGAATCAAAGGACGGCCAGAGCATCCTGGCCGAAACGTTGAGTCAACACTCACAGGTTCTCCTAAGAACCACACCTCTTCCAAAAAAGTGACTGATTCCATGGTGTACCCACAACTTCCACCACGCAAAGCTTCAAATCTTACTTGCATGTACATGTACCTGTACATGAAATTGGGTCCTGACCAAAAATGGCAGGCCAAAAATCCACTTTTTTTATTTGAACTTTGATCGACCCAAACCTATGCAGATTCTAACACAATCTTCCTGAAAGGAAGATATAATCTTTTTTAACTACCAATTTTAAAATCACTGTTCAATGCAAATCTTCCAATTGTCTTCACTTAGGTTAGGGTTAAGATTGAATGTTAAACCTAGCTGAAGTATCATATACTGTACAACGTCTACGGGATGTTTTGGACAAAAATACGGAAAAAACCCCAAAACAGACAACCCCCCCTGCTTTCCTGCAATTTGCAGAAAAGTCATATTGCCGAACCCCTTGCAAAAAAGCAAGCACGCAAAGAATATTTGCATGGTACTTTGCTTGAATGAGGTCTACTGTAGTTTCCTAAGGTACATGGTACCAACCAAGGTTGCATCCTCTAGTTATGTTCTTATGGCAATGCAGGGCTGGTTGCAGGAAATTGTGTGGCTACAGACTTTCATACTTGTGTTTTTATTGGGCATTAAAAAACTAATTACAGTTCAGCCTGTGCTGATACCTAGTCCATCAAAACAAGCAGTACATTAAAAAACAAGCGAGCTATTTTAATAGCCAATACCAAATTTGCTGGGAACTTCACTGCCCGGCTACAAGCACCTGTACCTATGTCAGCATAATTATTTTGCTCCCTTTTGTAATGTACATGTACATTGTAGGTAGTTTTTATCTGCAAGATCCCCATACCTGGTTAGTCTCATCCTGTCATAATGACTGTTCTTTAAACAAACAAACTTGCCAAATTTCAGCAGAAAAGCTTCTGCTTAATTTCAAGGTAGACGATGGTTGCAAAAAACATTTGCTGAGGTTAGTTCTACATGATCTGGTATGATACATGAACAGTCTTGAGGTTGACAACAAGAAACCTCAGACAGACACCACATGCACATGTACATACCATACAAATACATCAGATCCATGTACATGTGCCCGATATGTCAGCCAAGAGATTCAGACAAACTGAAATCCTGTTGTAACATCTTATGTTTTTCCCCATTTTATTTTCACATTTGTCAGCTTGGGATGTCAAAAGTACCTGATATGCAGCCCATCATGTTTTTTTTTTTTCAAATTCTGGACAGTCAACCCCTTTCAGTTTGTTTTTTTCACTCCCAACTTACATGTACATATACATGCATACTCCAGAAGAAAGAGCTCATTAAGGGCAATGACTGCACATATAGATTTAGGGCACACAGCGTAATGCAAGCAACTGCACAAGCATTCACCTTCCTGCTGCTGTAATTGTCAAACACAGTCAAAAATTCCTTCCACTTGATTTGCCTCAGTACACAGACACATATGGGAAATTTGACTTGTTTTGACTGTTATGAAATAGCGCATTTTGTTCCTAATGAACTTAGCTTTCCAGTTGTAGTGAACATTTTGTTGGCCAGTCTTAGCCAAACTCGTACCAAGTCTTTGATCACTGATGTATTGGACGAAGGAGAATAAAATTACAAACTTTGCACGGATAATGGAACAGTGTATCAAAATTTAAAACGTTTATTTATGATGGCAAAAGCCGGTCTAATATCAGGGATTTTTCTCTATTTCCTAGTCACAGCGATAATTTGTATTTAATTGCAAGAAAAATTATATGTATTGCTAGGATATTACTAGCCCCGCTTGACCGGCTAAGATGCAGGCAGTAATCAGGCATTTTTGGAATGTTTTCTACTATTCATCTGACTCGGCGGCGACCATCACTGAACACTTTGAAGTGCCTGAGTTGGAACTCCTTCTGTGTCCTTCCTTTATGGACATGCCTACAGGTGCTGTATTTGTGACTACAAACATATACAGGTACCTGTATAGAAATGTACATGTACTTGTTCCGCAGTTGTGGGGACATTCACTCCTCGTTACGGCGATTTTGTAAGGACCCCCCAAAAAAGTTTGGGGACAGAGAAATGCCAATTTTGTAATTCACTCAGCGTCCAAGTGGTCTGGTCTGTTTCTCACAACTCATTCACTGCACGTTCTACAATTTGTCCAGATCACTGTGCGTTCTCAATATAACTGAAATGCACATGCTGGAAATTGAAGGGTAAGACACACACTGTATAAATGCCAAACTGAATTAAAAAACATATGAAAATGTGGTGTGACCAAGTTAAAAAAACACTGTACAAGTTTATACAATGTTCGCGTACTTCACTGTCAGCTAATGAACACTTTCAGCCAACATGGACGCCTGACATGCCTGATGCAATCTGGCACAACGAACAAAAAGCTTAGACAGAGACCCCGTCAGCAGGGAAACAAATCCATGCAAAATGCCCTCTCAATCGGCGGGGGTGGGAGGAGTATTACAAAAAAAGACAGAAAAGGCAGCAGACTGCTTAGAGTAATAAGGCAGAGAAAAATCCCCCGATGGATGACAGAATCTGTAATCCTGTCATACATGTATATGCCCTCCCCTCCTCTTCTCGGCCAATGAACCCAGTCATCATGACTGCTACCGGGGTACACTGCAAAACAGGGCATGTACCCGGTACGGTACGATATGATTGCCAATGACTGTTAACCATGGTTTGACCAACGTCACTCCAACAACGCAGGGCTAGATTCGTCTAGTTGACTATTTGGAACCGGACCCATAGGCGTAATGAATCAACTGGTTACCAACAATCTTCTTCCATAGTATGTGTAAACAGGGAACCACTGATGTGAAAGTAATTGCGCAAGACGACAGCAAACATGAACACTGCAAGAAATGCAACAGATGGGGACAAGACAGCGACGTTGGAATTTTACAGAAATGGTTTGACTTCAGTCACTCAATTGTAAAAGCCAGCTCACACGTTAGGAGAACGCAAAAAAAATTCGAATTTGACATTGCGAAGCATTTGCAGCATATCCGCTTCAAAATGGGTTCATCTTAATCCAAAGCACGACAATTTGATCCGTCGTCACAAATTGGCATTCAAGTTTGCTTTCCAACCATACATGTACATAATCCAGCCCCAACTTCACTGCCTGAGCACTGTGGTAATAAGCAATAAACCAGTGGTTGAACAATAATTTGTGTACTAATTTCTCCCCAGGTGCCCACACAGGAATGCAAACCCACACACTCTATAATCAGCACAACTTCAGGGGAAAAAAAGCACAATTTTTTTTTTCTGATGAGCTCTTTGCTTGTTTGACAAGTCCCAGTGTATCTTTCTCCACAATCAACCAACTGTGGCACATCCCTGACGGAAGTACCTGCCCATGAACTCAAGAAGAAATCGCAGGCCCCTTGGGGACTTCTGAAGTTAAAGTCTCCATCTCCTCTGATTAGAAACCAATGACATGAATGGCTAGCATACCCATGTAAGAACCACACCCCGCCACCATGGAAAGAAGAGGACAGGCATGCAGCCAAAGACTTCCGCTTTCAATTGTGGGCACTCTGGAAAATCTCTGCCTGCTCCAAAATGGGAGAAAATGCATGCAGCTTTGATGAATAGGGTGTGAAAAGAGTACAGGAGAACAGGATCTGTAAAGCGTTGTTTCCCCCATGAGAGACACCCAATGATAACACCACCAGAGGTGGCCTCTAGCAACATGCATCCCTCCTGTTTTCAAAATGTCACATCCCACATCACAGCAGTCAACAATGAATCACTGTTACTTGTCATACCTCTGTCTTGGATACTGTCCATTTATTGGCCCAAAATGATCACATGACAGGGTGATATATCCACATATCACACTCAACGTGAGATATTGCATTCTGCTGATAGTGCGTGCACGCATGTGCATGAGACAGAAAAGCTTCAGGAAGTTTGAGAGTGAAAGTTTCCAGTCCTTAAGTCAGTTTTGCATGGTACCCATGATTTGTTTTGTGCATAGGCTACCAGGGAATTCAACCAATAATCGCACTCGTAATAACAGACTTCTTCCCGACCCTGCAGCGTACCGGTATAAGGTAATGCAGGGACCGCTAACCAGACAATACATGTACTCACTGGTATCGCACTACCGATAGTTCCACATTAAAGTTTACCCAATTAAAGAAAGTGAGGGAACAGTGCATTTGCAGACGATATCATTTACCGGTACATGTATGTCTGTTAGTTCAATTTATTGTACAGTTTGACAGTATGGTAGACCTATCGCCTTCTGAAACTCAGAGCTTTTGGACAAATTCCTTAACCCTCAGGTGTTCACGATGTCATATGCCACACCACAGCTGTCAACAATTGTTAAATGTCAGTACTTTTATCAGCCTCACATAGTGACCATCTGTAAATGTTGACATTCCTGTCTTGTGAGTAGGCCTACCCAAGGACACAAATACATGTATTTTTCATGGATGGGGTGTGGTATAGAACTCATAATAAATGTACCGTGCTGGTACGTATCATTAACACAACTTAATAGACCGTATTCGTGGCGTCGCCAATTTCAGTCGTATTCCTGAGCATACCGTATAATTTCGAAACTTTTAATGGGATGGTACTACGTGATTTCGGGGGTCGGAATGAAATCGTAGAACATAGTGGGGTTCTCTGAATTTAACATTTTCAAATAGATACACTACGTTGGGGAATACGACTGAAGTTGGGGACGCCGCGAATACGGTCAATTACAATTTCTTTTTAGCCACATGTACATATTCCCCTACATGTACATGTACGGTGCACGTACATGTACATGCTTCAAGCCAGTTGACCAGACCTGTCGTACTCTTTCCTGAGGTCAGACATTACCACACAATACCGGTATATTAAAAAGGTATACGAGCCCTCGGTTCATTTAAATTTGTATCTATTATTTGGTGATGCCTGACCTCAGGAAGGAGTATGACAGGTTGGCAGGTATGGTTGACATACACATTTGTATAGTGACTGTATACACATACAAACATGTACATGTCCATGTTTGTACCTGTACCACAGCACATATCCATGTACCATACTGGTAGGTATATCATATTACATGTACATGGAATGTATTTGCAATCTACCTGATAACAGCAGTTTCCATTCTCAGATGTATTATTACAGGCACTGTCTGCTACAAATTCCAAGTGTGCGTGGAGGCATTATGAGTGAGTGCCGTTCCATCAATGACTTTCTGCAACCTTGGCTAACCCCCCCATTGTCTAACTTCTTTGCCAAGGCGACGTGGCCTAAAGCGCCATCGTTTACGCACTGATTTGCCCGTGTTCAGCCCGGTCCGGAAATGTAAAAAAATCCCACCTTCTCCCACCCTCCCCTCACCAAATGACCCGAAAGTCGGGCCAGCTTGCAAAGATAGCAAACCCAATTTAACAGGCCACTGGCCTGGATGTGAACGTATTTCGCTGCGACGTTATCCTCCAAAGAAACAGTTCTGTCTGCACAATTTGAGACGCCCTTGTTTGGACTGCCTGGTCAAGAACCCTCTGATCTAGGTTTTTCCTATATGTACCTCCCCCCCCGGCCCCACAGGCAAGGACTGTCTAATATGAGATATTTTTCAAGCTTTCTTTTAAACGCTTTACATTTCACTTTCTGTTTTCTCTTTAAGTCTCTGTTGTTTACTGTCCAGTACTGGAGCCTCAGTGAGCAGATCTGATCAGACAAGAACACTGCGAACAGGCCGACTGGCGCTTTTCTTGTTTTCCCCAGTTTTCTGCTTGAACAAACAAATAGTGCTTGCACCCCACCATATTTGTGGATCACATATTCCTTCAAGAGAACCTGTCTCCGCTACATGTACTTTAATGGATGAGTATGCGAACCTCATTTCCTGCATTGGACTGAAAAATAACTGTGTGTTTACAGTAAACGCTGAGTTGATTCTCCATACATTCAGGGATTCCATCAAACATTGGAATATTCATTTTAGAAACAGAATATTCAAAGCAGAAAATCCATGATAAAAAATTGGAAACATTCAATAACGTTATAGTGGCAAAATCTGAGGCTGTATTTGAAGGTGACAGTTTCCTCAACTTTTTGTCAAAACATGAACATGTCATTTTTGCTTTTGAAGGAATTTGGTACAATATTCTAATCTACGGTACGACTGAATAAAAATTTTATCACCGTCTTTCCCAAAATATTGATTGTAAACACGTGTTCAATAAAAGTAGCAAAATAATAGAGCAACTATAAACAAAAGATCATCACTGATACACACAAGTAATTTTCCTAAGGTATCCGCAGCAGCCGGACATGTGCCGTACATGTACCTAGATGATTTTTTTCACGGTGTTACTGTGAGCTCATGTTTCTTTTTAAGACAATCAGTACCCTGGATCGTGAATCAACATCAGGGACCTTCTGAGGGTCGCTGACACCGACATTTAAAGGTGGTGCAGCAACTCAACGTTTGATGTGCTTTATCAAAGAGTATAACACTGCCTTTGGAATCTTACACACATATTCACGACCCACATGAAGAAGCTGAACTTAGTGCTGTACAAGTAAGTGTTAGGCCTCATGTTGTGTTTGGACATGGTTTGGCAATTGTTGGCTGCACATCGGTTCAGTTCTGGTTTGGATAATTTGAGGAGTCAGGTTGGTGTAGTGGTTCTCTCCTCGCCTTTCACTTCTGCGGTCCGGGTTCGAATTCCGGCTTGGTCCAGGTGTGGATTGGGTTTTCAGTCCCTACCTGATTCCATGGGTTTTACCCAGAATAAATCACCCTGCAACACCAAAGGGCTTGCTACGAATGTGCCTCAGTATT